TCGTCACATATTGTCCAAGATTAACCTTCAGGGTGGATATAGCTCGCTAGCAGCCTCACACCAAGGACCTATCCACGTCATCATTTACCTAGAATGTTTTGTGTGTAAATAAAAAGGCTCCGTCCGTGTTAAAATATGTTTTTAAAAATTATAAAAACTAAATGGCCTAAACAGTATTTTTACAGTCTTTATTTTACAATTAAAATATATGTTTATCAAATAAAGTCTAATGTTACAACTAATCAGGGATCCCTTTAAGAAATAATCACTGAATATACTGCTACAGTTAATTATCTTTTGAAGTCAAGCCAATTCAAGGTGGCTGACAGAGCCAGTTGACCTTTAAAAATACAAAAATATCCATAAAGCTACTACTTTTACAGATTTTGAAAGCATTTAGTAGACGTTCATTCAAAATACACACTCAAAATGCTGCTGATTTTAAATAGCCTTGCTTGAAACTTGAGCTTTAAATTTTGGAGTCAATCCCGTTTGGCTGCTAGTAAAATATTTCATGAACCACTTGACAGCTTTTAAAGAAACTTGAAGAAACAGCTACTGAACTTGTGCATTAACTTTCGACATTGAAATTAAAGTATGGCTACCACAGCTATAAAAAAATTAAATGGCCATAATTCTGTCAGTTTAACAAATTTTGGTCTGAAACTTGTGTATCATCTCACAAAGAAATAAATGAAAATAAAAGATTTTGTAAAGATTTACAACAAACAGAAATTTTATGTTTGGGTCTAGTAGACTGAAACGAGTGGCTGTTTCACGGTTGAGATTCAGGCTCGAGTTAGTAGTGGCCTTAAAATAAAAAGGTCACACTCGTTTAAACAAAATGCCTGCAGCCGGAGGCGTGGAATGATAAACTGCCAACAGCCAAGAAAGAAGCCAAGAAGCAAAGATAAAGACACTACAGAGCTGCCACCGTGAGAAACTTACACAGTGTTGGTGTTCGAGTAGCTAAAAACGCCTGAGTGACAGTGTTATGACTGTATGTGCTGTCATACAACTGGAGTTTTCAGTAAAGCCTGTTTTTCCAGTTTCTCCACCTGACTGTATGAATCATTTAGGKCTATGAATAAGGTTTTTTATTAAAATCTCCGTCCTCGGTATGTGCACATTAACATGGCCTTCGCTTAATTTCTCACTGCTGAAGATTTTGTGAAAACGCAAACCTTTCAGCTCAGCATTCATGTTTTTTTAGCTCATCAGAAAACACCTCCACGCATTAACTCTCCTCCCCTCCGTCCTGCAGGTGAGAAGCCCTACAGGTGCACGTGGGACAGCTGCGACTGGCGCTTCGCTCGTTCGGACGAGCTGACGCGTCACTACCGGAAACACACGGGCGCCAAACCCTTCCAGTGCGCCGTCTGCTCCCGCTCCTTCTCCCGGTCCGACCACCTCGCCCTGCACATGAAGAGACACCAGAACTAGTGGCAGCGTTTTGCACACACACACACACACNGTGAGCGTGCATGTTGGTATAAAGTTTCCAGTGCACCTCTCTTGAAACAGACCACCCACTTGGAAGACCAACAGATTGATCACTGGGAGATCGGGGGACACACACACATTTGCACACACACACACACACCCACACACACACCCACACACACACACGTTTTGACGGTACATCATACAAGCCTCGTCTTGACCCCGGTTCAAGCTGAAGCTGTGCGGTGCAGAGCGGCGTTCGCTGACATCACAGCTCTTCCTGGAGCTGCTGTCTCATGCTACAACACTACGATAGCCTAACAACTATGTTGCTCTTCACTCAAACTGGGACAATTAGGAGGTTGTAACATAGGAAGATAGTGGCCAAAGTTTGGTCTAATAACCTTCAAGTACACTTGGCTTCGATTTCTTTGGACAAAACGCAAAGAAAACATGCCATAACAAAGAAAATGGTAGCTCCTACATGTGTTTCCAGACTGTTTGGACTCTCAGATAACTGAAATGAAAGCATTAGAACAAAATCATCTGTCTTTGTTGTAATGTAGAACTTCTTAAAAACAAAACAAAAAAATCTTTGTTTACTCATCGGTGTGTTTGTTTATGTAACTGCATAATCCAGATATATGATTTATTTTCAACCAAATTCTTACATTTGCACTAGAATTGATTAACTTCCTTTTTTCTTTTTTTTTTAATCTCGTGCACCACTGGAACGACCATTATCACTACTGGACTGGCTCTCTGTGAATGCCATGCAAGTCATTTCTGTTCTGATTATTAAAAATTGAAAGCATTTATTCTCACGAGACACGGAAGATGAAGCAGGGAAAAAAAGAGGGAGAGACTGAAAGTCTTTTTTTTTTTCATTTTATAGAGAGATCTCCGGTTGACTGAGTAATATAGGGACATGGACGGATAGCAAGAGCAGCAATTAGGTGATCAATTATTTAGTCCGTCTTTTCGATGGTCTTCTACCCAGAAACATGTAAGCAGAACGGATCTTAGAGATCATCCAATTAAAACAGAAGCAACTCTACTAGATGCACAACCTGAGTTAAGTGTCTCCAAATGAAATTTATGTGCAGATGTGCCATCTAATGTTTTACTTCCTTTTTTTAAAAAACATTTTAACCAAAGCATCATCTTCGTTGTTATCACCTTATGAAGTGCCTCCTTCTCTGGTTAATGTGTTTCTGTGTTTGTGGTAATTAGAGCTGTGATTAGTGTAGGCGGCTCTGTTTTAAACACACATGGTGCTGTTTTTGTTTGGATTCAGAATCTCTGGTCTCAGTTTGGGGGGTTGGCGTCTCAGTAATGCCCCCCTAATGCTGACCATCTCCATTGTAATATAACAGCTCAGTTCTGACCACTTCGCAGACATCCTGACATCGTGTGCAAAATTTGTACAAAGTGACTAGTTTGTCCTTTTTTGATGTAAAGGTACTCATTGCAATATCATGAAGACTGGTCATCATATAGTAAAAAAAAAATCTGCAAATAATTTTCTCACATTCATGGTTATATGCAGATACTAAATTACCATGTTTGTTTACCTATAGAAAGAGGCGAAATGACTGAAAACARCAAAGAGGTATGTTGACTAGAAGTGCTTTCACTTGACTTTTCATGGTTRGAGAGAGCGGCCATATTGTTCAGGGCAAGGACATCTCAACAAACAGTATTATTAGTTGGTAAAGCTGAATGTGGTAACCGTGACACATTAAATTAAGGACATCAGTGAAACTCTGTTTGCGTTTGACAACCATTTTTTTAATTTAATAGAAACACTTGTCAGTATATATAGAAGCTAACCAATGGAAAACAAATGTTTTTATGCAATTCTATGCAGAAATTTAACCATGATAAATTGTTTACATTGACAACCCACCCTTCTAATATGGTGTGGTCAATCTCCTGAAGCATGTGCAGTGCCTCTAGTCAGTATACCTCATTGGAAACCAGGTCATCGTCCATAAAAGATCTCTTATTGTGTCGAGCTCTGCCTATATGGCGTTCCACCACCCTGCTCGATTCCCAATATTTGTTCTTGACATGTGTCTTGAGCTTTCTGTTTTCTGTCTAATAGCAGATTCACCTTTTTGTATTTTCACCTAAATGTCTTTGCTGCAGCAGTACATTTATACAATTTCATCATTTTTGTGTACCTACACAGACTATAGCCAGCCAGACTATAGATCAATGAGCTGACTCATCCATTTCCACAAATTCTGCTTTGTTTATGCGGAATGTGGACCCATATTTCTGGAATACATAATATATCTGGGAAAACGAGTGAACTCTTTCAAGCTGCACCATTTGATATAGTTCAGGATTACCTTCTTTTTTATGTTTGGTTTTATAATTTGCAATGAGTACCTTTAACTCTGTATGCAGAAACTCGGCTCTATCAGTCCTTCAAACGTGGACATGTGCTATGTTAAAGGACAGGTTTGCTTTATCTTTTAACTTTTGGACGTCATTCTCCTTTTGGATGATTTTGTGTTTGTTTTTCCAGAGAACAATCATTTTATCTCATCACCTGCACTGAAATTCCTCTTGGAAAAATATAATAGAACACATTAACATTACTCTCAGTAGTAGCCTGAAAATACTTTTGTTATATATATAATTTTTGTTCTGTAACAAAATCAAACTGATCTCAATCACAAACTCAACCTATTAGGACATTTGAGGCTTTTTTAAAAAGCACCCACCAATCAGTGCACATTTTATTTAAAAAATCGGACAGAAACATTGAATAAAATTCATATCCTGTACATTTTTGCTTGTGTCTGGTCTTAACAGGAAATTGAACAATGTCATTAAGGAATAACTTGTGAACCTGTCCTTTAATGAGTGTTTGTTGGTGTGATTTAGTCTGAAACTCTAACTGTATTTGTTCATTCACTGCAGGTAGCGTAAAAAAATAATACAGCACTGTAATGTATCAAGGGAAAGCTGACTATTTATTTAATTGTGTAGAAGCTGGGACTAAACAGATCATCTGTTTTTATTTACCAGCCAAAAAATGCCTTAATGTAAATATATGCACTGTAAATACATTGTTCCATTTTTGTTTTGTTAAACAATAGGGCAAAAAAAAGAAAATGCCCCGCATCCAAAAAAAATTATGAGCCTTTTTTATTTTTTTGTTTTATTTTGTTAATTAAAACTATTTTGATGCCATTATTTTATATAATGTCCTTCCAACAACTTTTTTGTAGCTTTTTTTTTTTCTCCTTCCATGGTAAACGTTCCAAAGACAAAAGTTGTTTCTTTTTCTTCAACTGAGTGAAGCCGATGCTAATAATAAAGTCAAATGACACTTTTAAACTTTGTGTTTCTGCTGCTGAATTTGGGAGATAAGGTTGTTTTGTTTTTACTAACCTGCTAACATGTGGCAATGATGCAAATGTGCGCTACAGTTGGTGGTTTTCTCCATGAGGTTTAGATTAAAGCAAAAGGCATGCTGCGCAGCTAGAAAGCAATGGTGCCTGAGGGGTATTAAAAACAAGTCTGGTCACGGCTTGAATAAAACAAACGACACTAAACAACACACAAAGTTCGAAAATCCAAAGCATGGTTTCGGTGGAAGTGCAGGCAGTTCTGTTTTTCTTTGAGATTAGAGCTGACATATTTCAGAAGTCAGTCCTGAGGAGCAATCGGATGGGAAAGTTGTGGAGGAGAGGTGAAGTGCTCTCATCCAAGACCTGCGAGTAACCTGCAGTACCCTTGCTGATCAACAAACAATGGTCCTTTGATATCCCAGCAAGAGACAATGGACAAGAAAATAAATCTGACCACCGCTCCGGGGACCGGAGGGGAATCCCACTGTATTGAAATGGACGTTCAAACACRCAACACGGCACCATATGTTCTTGGTTTAAGTCGTAAATGTGACCCGGGGTCCTCTGTTGTAATCCACCTCAGATGTCTGAAAAAGTAGGAGGTCGAGAGGAAGACGATAGAGAAGAAGTGAAATGCAGAACAAGCTAAACAAAGGAGTCTCTGGAGGGACCCAATCAACCGCTTCCGTCCTCCTACGTCTCCTCTCCGTGTCCTCCTCCGCTTCTCTTACTTGATTTCAATTTTTTTTCCTTCTTTTTCTTTGTCTTTTTATGCATCAAGTCCCCCCCCCCCCCCTTGCTTCTGGGTGGAAAGCATTGTATGAAAGTCTAGGGGCTCTGCTCCGGAGGTCAGAGTGGAGACAGTTCTCATACTCTGCTTCACGCCTGATCTTTTATCCCCTTTCTTTTAAATGATACTGTCCATTTTTTTGCTCTAATTTAAAACTTTTAAATAGTCGTCTAATTATTGCCCTTAGAAAACACCAAAATGGCTGTGTTAAAATTCAGTGTGGTTGTAGTTGATGGTTATGTTCAACACAAGTGCTCAGTGCTCAAGATCTGTGGTTAAAACTTAAAGGAGACATGCTTTTAAATCCTTCCTTTTCACATTTAAATCACTCAGTTAAGTGGAGCTGCAATGCTTTGGTCTAAAGTCCTTACTGTAACTTCACAAGCCCCTCTTTCACCAGTGGTGTGTTTCAGATCAACTCGTTTTGAGGCTGTCTCTTTAAAATCCAAATTCCTTTAATTCAGCTGTTTTAAGACGTTTTGAGCTGAAGTTTTGTCTGATCATAGCTAAGAATCACCCCAAAAAACACACTGAATGCTAGTCRCAACTTTTTAATCAGCCATTTTTATTCAAAGTTTAAAATTAGTGTAGAAGTAGCCAAAAAGTATCTTCACCAAATTTTAAATGCTAATCAGAAATTCAAGATGGCCACTACAGCTAACTTTAAAAGGCYATAATTTAGCTATTTTAAGATGAAATTTGTTGTTGAGCAGCCAAAAATGATCACATGTTCACTGCTCATGCTAATCCCAGAATAAGCTAACCACTAATGCTAATGCTAATTTTACGTATAGGACTATAATCCAGCCATTTTTCAAAACATACACATCTGAAAATGTTAATGTTAATACAGTAGTATAGGGAAACAATCTTTAACAAAATCTAAACGTAAATAGAAAATTCATGATTCAAACCCACTTGTCAGGTTAAGGGTGGCACCTGGGGTGGACAATCGGGTGCTAGAGGTGCACTTGCCATTCCAGCCACCCCTCTGGCTCAGCCCCTGGACACAATAGTCCAGAAAACATCATAGAAAATAGAGAAAACTGAGTGAGTTGAAATATATCACGAATACAATATAAAGATAATTACGCAGCACCAAGAAAAACTAAATTCAACTTTTCTGCACTCCTAGAGACTCTAAGTACACACCAAAATGAATCTAAAAGCTAAAAAAAGGTGAATTTTGCATATGTCCTCTATAACTGTTGGAGTTTGTTAGTAAAACTATCTCAAAAACCGCAGGATAGATTTTAATGAAACACAGAACTTCAGCTGTTTAAGTTTTCATGTGTGCGTTTGCTTGTTAGAACCCCTGTTCTTTATTTGCTAAAGACTTAGAACACGCTGACAACACAGGCTTGCAGGTATTTTCGTTGAAGTCCGACAGCCGTGATGAGTGAGTGGGAGCTACCGGTTCATGTTTTTGGATCAACTAAATTAATGTCACACATCTGGAAGAAGGCTTCTGCCTGCTCCACCCTCTGCTGCGCTGCGTTGGTGTGATTCCCAGTTTCCCCCCATTTTTTTTTTTAAAGTTTTGTATGTGTGTGTTTTTATGTACGTGTGTTTGTGAGCGTGCATGTTGGTATAAAGTTTCCAGTGCACCTCTCTTGAAACAGACCACCCACTTGGAAGACCAACAGATTGATCACTGGGAGATCGGGAGACACACACACATTTGCACACACACACACTCCCATGCAGCTCCATCCAAAATCAACTTTTCCTGACAGTCTCAGAATAGAACATGTTATCAGAGATTGAAGAGATACAACAGCTGACAACATGCTGACTTAAAGACAAAGATAATATCTTCATCRGATGGATTTGTAATGAAGTTTCCGGTGTTGCTTTCATCACCTGCAATACACAATAACAGACAAAAAAAAATTGGGATTAACAGATGAAAATGCCTTTAGCTCATCATCAAAGGCCTATTATTTACACYTRCATGGCTGATTATCTGCACGTTACYGTAGAGGAACTACAGAAAAACTACTTCCACAGTGGGAAGATAATTAAACATTTTTCCAAGTGAAGATCAAATTTGAATTAAATTGTTTAAACCTGACATGTAGTTGGGGCCACACAGAGTCTGTCTCTGCAGTGGGGTTTTGGTTGTAAGTTGAAGACTTATAATGTGCATTAATCTGCGTTGTTATTCCTATTTTAAAAAGAAATGACCTTAAACAGAACAATGCTTCAACGTGGTACGTTATAGGGTTGGGCGATATTGGCAAAAGAATTAATCACGATTAATTGTGGTATTTAGCCAACAACGATTAATTTGTCGATTAATCCTCTGGAGTCCCTGGACGCCCTTATGTCCTGGTCACCAATTTAGTGGGAAAGATTTGCTCTTCATAAAAATCTTTTCCAAATTATATCAAAATCAGACTTCAGGCTTTACTTCAAATTTTAAAT